CCCTTCGGTCAGAATCGTTATTTTGCCCCCCCCCCCCCCCCCCCCCCGTTCTCTTTCAAGAGTTTATGAGAGTATGCTTGTCATCTTCGTCTAATGTGTGCCTCTTCCACTAGCATTTTACTGTCCTCATCTTTGATCCACTTCTCAAGTCTTCTTATCTCTCGCCGTGATGAACTTGTACGACTTCTTATTCATGTCTTTGTCATCTAGTTCAACATACAAGCATTCAAAAGTTGTCATTTTTATCGCATTCTTTTTCATCATCTTATACCGTGTTGTGTCCATTCGTCTCTTCTCCTAGTCTTTGCTCTCCACCAATCTAGCATAAACAACTTTCTTTGCTTCTATTCATGTATATAAACAGAGTATATTAGAAAAATTAATAAAAAATACTTTTCTTATTATAATTTCTTCAAAAGCATATAAAAAGAAGAAAATGAAAAACTAATACTCCCTCTGTCCCAATTTATATGACACATTTCACTTTTCGAGAGTCAAACAGTTTAAGTTTGACTTAGAATTTGCTCATGAAATCTTCAAATTTTTTAAAATGAAATTTATATATTTGTAAACTACATAAAAAGTACTATAAGTCTCAATAATTGATAATTCAAAATATTTAAAAGATATAGGAAAAATTTACGGTCAAAGATAGACTTGTTTGAATCTCGAAATCCAAAATGTGTCACATAAATTGGGACAGAGGGAGTATGAAATTGGGAGTATTCAAAAAATATTAATTCATATAAATTGATATTTGAAGGAAACAAATGGGGCGAAGTCCTACAGAACCGTTATAACGAGAGAACAAGTAGCCGGCGGCAAATGCCAAATAGTGATAGTTTCATCTATCCTCCTTTTTAAAACCTTTTTTTTTCTTTCAGTGTGTCCCTCTCACTCTCTCTCATACAAATCACAAATAAAAACCCCAAAACAAAAAAACAGAGTTGATAAGATTATAACTTCTGTTTATTCCTATTTATTTATATATATATATACACTTATTATTAATAAGATCTACTCCTGTCTTCCCCAAGAATCTGGCTGTTTTTATGATGGAGAATAGTAAAACCAGTGCTGGGTTTTCTTCCCCAAGAACTGATACTTTTCCAGCTGGTTTAAGGGTTCTTGTTGTTGATGATGATCCTACTTGGTTGAAGATTCTTGAAAAAATGCTTAAGAAGTGTTCTTATCAAGGTTTTTAAGACACACCCTTTTATTGATTTTGTTGAATCATCTTGGATTTTCAAGCTGTCATTACGCCCCCCCCCCCCCCCCCCCGTTCTCTTTCAAGAGTTTATGAGAGTATGCTTGTCATCTTCGTCTAATGTGTGCCTCTTCCACTAGCATTTTACTGTCCTCATCTTTGATCCACTTCTCAAGTCTTCTTATCTCTCGCCGTGATGAACTTGTACGACTTCTTATTCATGTCTTTGTCATCTAGTTCAACATACAAGCATTCAAAAGTTGTCATTTTTATCGCATTCTTTTTCATCATCTTATACCGTGTTGTGTCCATTCGTCTCTTCTCCTAGTCTTTGCTCTCCACCAATCTAGCATAAACAACTTTCTTTGCTTCTATTCATGTATATAAACAGAGTATATTAGAAAAATTAATAAAAAATACTTTTCTTATTATAATTTCTTCAAAAGCATATAAAAAGAAGAAAATGAAAAACTAATACTCCCTCTGTCCCAATTTATATGACACATTTCACTTTTCGAGAGTCAAACAGTTTAAGTTTGACTTAGAATTTGCTCATGAAATCTTCAAATTTTTTAAAATGAAATTTATATATTTGTAAACTACATAAAAAGTACTATAAGTCTCAATAATTGATAATTCAAAATATTTAAAAGATATAGGAAAAATTTACGGTCAAAGATAGACTTGTTTGAATCTCGAAATCCAAAATGTGTCACATAAATTGGGACAGAGGGAGTATGAAATTGGGAGTATTCAAAAAATATTAATTCATATAAATTGATATTTGAAGGAAACAAATGGGGCGAAGTCCTACAGAACCGTTATAACGAGAGAACAAGTAGCCGGCGGCAAATGCCAAATAGTGATAGTTTCATCTATCCTCCTTTTTAAAACCTTTTTTTTTCTTTCAGTGTGTCCCTCTCACTCTCTCTCATACAAATCACAAATAAAAACCCCAAAACAAAAAAACAGAGTTGATAAGATTATAACTTCTGTTTATTCCTATTTATTTATATATATATATACACTTATTATTAATAAGATCTACTCCTGTCTTCCCCAAGAATCTGGCTGTTTTTATGATGGAGAATAGTAAAACCAGTGCTGGGTTTTCTTCCCCAAGAACTGATACTTTTCCAGCTGGTTTAAGGGTTCTTGTTGTTGATGATGATCCTACTTGGTTGAAGATTCTTGAAAAAATGCTTAAGAAGTGTTCTTATCAAGGTTTTTAAGACACACCCTTTTATTGATTTTGTTGAATCATCTTGGATTTTCAAGCTTCAATTTTGTAAAAAGACACCTTTTTTATACTTATTTTGTTTGTTTCCTTTCATAATCTTGGATTGTGTTTTTACCACTTGAAACAGACACCCTTTTTACACTTGTGTTGTTTCTTGGATTTTCAAGCTTGAATTCTGTTTTCACTACTGCAAAAAGACACCATTTTTTTCCAACTTTGTTGCATAACCTTGGATTTTTCCAGCTTGAATTCTGTTTTTACCACTTGAAAAAGACACCCTTTTTACTCAGTTTTTTTTACTTTGTTGGATGATCAAGATTGAACTCTAGTTTCTACAGTTCATCTCCTTAGCTTGATTTTAAGGTTATTTTTGTAGTTAGTAATAGATCTTTTTTCATTTCCAGAATTTTGATGCCTTCTATGTGCAAGTGAAAAGGTCCTTACTGTTTAGGGAAAGTTACTACAGAACTGTTATGTTGATTGTTAGAATGGAAGAGTGGATCAAAAAAGTAAACCAAGCCTTTTGTAGATTGTTGTTTCTGCAAAGTTTCTACTTCAAATGATCCTTCTTTTTCCCTCTTGGGGCAAACTCATGGAGGCATCAAAGAGAAGGGGGAAGAAGAAAATTAATTCTTAGGATTCTTAGACTGACCCCTCAATTATTGACATCCTATTTTGTCTACAAATATAATAAAAGTAAATCATCTTTGATGTTATTTTTGGGCAGATTATTAAATATTAGATTTTGTTTTGTAGCTCCATTGAATTGCTTCACCTCTTTGTGGATGTAAATCTATCCCTTTGAGATCTGCAGTTTGTCTATATGGGAGGTCATGCTTGAGTGAAAAACTTGTAAGCTCTTTGTGGTTTGATTATTAAGTTGGAGTTGCATTTGGTGAAGCTAGTGCGATAAACTCCTTTGTGAAGATCACCTTATTTTTGCCACTAATATCAATTGGTGATTTCTGATTATCTTTGAGTAAGCAGTTTTACAAATTCTCATGCTTGTATTATGCAATTTTATTTTCTAACTCAGGAGTTAGGTCATTTATAATTAGCGGTGCATCGTGTTTCTGGTTTGGATGCTGCAGAGATAAATGCAGTCTTAAACTGATAGCTTGTACTGAACTTTTACTGCTTTGAGCCAATGTGGATTCTCTGTAAGATCCCAACAGGTGTCTTATCTCTTCAATTGTATTATTTTGGTGCTGAGGCAGAGAGCATATTGTTGCTTATGAGTTAATTACTCATAATTACCCATGCCTCACTAAAATTTCTAGATTGTATGCTTGAATTGTCGACGTTTGATGCACAACAAAGATATCAATGACTACTTGTTAGCGTAAAGTGGATCCATTTATCTGTAATTTTTATTGTTGCAATCTTTGGGTTTCTGAAAACCTTATTACTGGTTTCTTTCAGTGACAACATGTGGTCTAGCACGAGAGGCTTTGCATGTGCTCCGAGAGAGAAAGGATGGATTTGACATTGTGATCAGTGATGTTAACATGCCTGACATGGATGGATTTAAGCTTTTGGAGCATGTTGGACTTGAGATGGATCTTCCTGTCATTAGTCAGTTCTCTTTGATTTAAGGGTTACTAAGTTTTTTTCTGGACTAATACTAATTGGCTACTTCACTTTTGTCCATTACAATTGCACTGATTTTTCAAAATACCTTTCCAGTGATGTCTGTGGATGGTGAAACAAGCAGGGTGATGAAGGGTGTTCAACATCGTGCATGCGATTATCTTTTAAAGCCTATACGGATGAAAGAACTTAGAAACATATGGCAGCATGTACTCAGAAAAAAGATGCAGGAGGCAAGGGATGCTGGAAATCATGAATTGGACCAATATGATGAAGTGTGGATGCTTAATGGAGCTGAAATCCTTTCAGGAAAGAAAAGAAAAGATTTTGAGAATAAGCATGATGAAATAGAAATGTCCGATTCAAGATTTGTTGATTCTTCTTCCATGAAGAAAGCCAGAGTCGTTTGGACTGTAGATCTTCATCAGAAATTTGTCAAAGCTGTAAACCATATTGGATTTGACAGTAAGTTCATTAAAATTTCTTTTTACTCTTATGTTACACTTCATCTTCAAAGTTCCTATGCATATTTCTAGTAATTATTCTTTTGAGATATTGTGATAATGTTTTTTTATGCATGGCAGAAGTTGGTCCCAAGAAGATTCTTGATTTGATGGGTGTCCCATGGTTGACTAGAGAAAATGTTGCTAGCCACTTACAGGTAAATATTCTTACAACTTGTGCATCTTATTAGGGATATTGGCATGTGTTGCCAACATATACTCACTTGCTAACAGATTTGGTTAAGCTGTTTCTTGCAAGTTGCCTCCTACCTAATATCAGATCCAGATAGTGAAAAGGTACCTGCCTTTAGATCCATAGGATTTCAACTATGAGATATTTTGTGGTGATTAGAGATAAATAAAAGAAAAGATGGAAAGTATATTCACATTAGTTTGAGCTAAAAAAGAAAAGTTTGGGATTTATTGAGATTGAAATCAAGTTAAAAGGTTAGGTATAATGCACGCATGCCACGTCAAGAAAAGGATTTCCTTACTTTTCATTCATAGTCGTCTTAATGACTAGTAGTTTGAAGCCTCAAGAAAAAGTATCTCCTTTACTATATTGATGTGAATGGTCTTCTCTGCTTTTGAAAAGTTGAAGTTTCATAAATTGAATGGTGAAAAAGTTCTCATAACAATATCATTTTCTTGCAGAAGTATCGCCTCTACTTGACTAGGTTGCAGAAAGAAGATGAAGCTAAAGACTCATTTGGTGGGATGAAGCATCCGGATGTTTCTTCTCAAGAAATTTGTTCGAGTCTCAGCCTTCAGAATCCAGTGGATGTGTACACTGATGTTACAAATGACAAGTATGTTTGTGTTTCTGGAGACAAAGCTATTGTTCAAAATGGGAAATCCAACATATATGAGAGCAAGGTAAAGGGTGTTGTTTCAGTGCCAGCTGCTGAGGCAAAGTCTGTGATTGAAGATAACTTTGATTCTCAGACTGCTGGTTCAAAGATAGGCCTCAAGGATTCCTTTGGATTGGTCAATACTGATGTAAAAAGTTCTAAGGTACCCACTCCATACTGCTCTACTGGAGAAGCTCCACAACCTCAATACAAGCAGCAAGACTTTAAACCACATTTTCAGTCAGCTAATGGGTTAAGTCACCAGCCACTGCCTGTGGTTTCTCATCAAATCCCAGTTGATCGCACACAAGTGACTTGTTTTGTCAACCATATACCTTCTCATGAAGAAAGGGACAGACATCCAGATACAAGAAATAAACCTTCTTTCTTCAAGACCAAAAATGGAGTAGGAAAGTTTTCTCCAGTAGAAAGTAATGTTAACTTGTTTCAACCTGTGAGCCATCAACAAACAAATTTTCATACTCTTGAGCAAATGCCAAGTACTACATGGAGAGCGACGAGTCACAATGTAGTCAATGGTTCACAATCAAGCCTGGGAAATCTAACTTTGAGAAGTGGTTCAATTGTTGCATCTGTAGGTGAGGAGATTTTTGGTGCTTCTGTTCAAGGGGAATGTTTTCTAGCTAATAATGGTCTTCCGAACATTGAACAATTTGACTACAATGATCCACAACCCATTTCTGGAGTTCCAACATACTTGTATGATACATTGAGGTTTGATTATGAGTATCCAATTGATTCATTGGAAGGTAATATGATGGACCAAGGTCTGTTCATAGTCTAACCTTTATCCCATGGGAAGCTTTAGATGGTAGACAATATATGCATTGCATTGCTCATCAACAACTGGTAATGTGATGCATAGCTTCTCATGGGGTGGGGTGGGGGGGGGGTAGGGGGTAG